GCCGATAGTCCCATCCCCGAGCGGGGCGATCTCAGTTGCAGAATGCACACATGTTTTGATGTCTACCGCTGTGGCTTCAACCCAAAGAACAAAATCAAGGTGTATATCTACTCTCTGAAAAAGTATGTGGATGACGCTGGCGTCCCCGTCAGCAGCACCATCTCGCGGGAGTATAATGAACTGCTCACGGCCATCTCCGACAGTGACTACTACACTGACGACATCACCCGGGCCTGCCTGTTCCTGCCGTCCATCGACGTGCTGAACCAGAACACGCTCCGCATTAAGGAGACGGCGCAAGCACTGGCCCAGCTCTCCAGGTATCCAGTGCCGTGCACACCGGAGCCAGGGCCTTCAGGGAAGGAGCAGGAGAGGCCTGCTGCCCCGTGAGCCGGCTTCCGGCTGCTGTGGCTTTTCTTATGGGAGGGGGTGTGGATGGGCCGCCGACTCCTAGCGTGAGGCCAGTGCTGCAAACCAGTCCGCCACCCGTGCGGCTGCTGTGGGCTCCCCACTTCTTAGAGTTTAAAAAACTAGGGATGGCCCGTCTTCCCACACTTTTCCTTTGAAATTTAAATACTGTGCCCTCATTACTCATATAGCATGTGTGCACTGTAAAAGGGTCTGAAAATACAGGTAAACAAAAAGGAGTGTAAGACTCATTCCATAACCTTGCTTCTAAGGGATAACCATTATTATTTTAATGTTACTTTCCCATCATTTTTTATATAAAAATACCTGTATGCATTATAGATACATTTTTCTATAATGTATAAATGTATACGTATGCATGTTTATCCACGTATATACATTTCTGTCAAGAATGGAATCACACAGTACATACTCTCTTGTTGCCTTTTTCCCTTAATACAGTTAAACCTTGGATTGCGAGTAACGTGGTTTGCGAGTGTTCCGCAAGACGAGCAGGCATTTCGAATACATTTTAACTTGGTACATGAGCAATGTCTTGCAATACGAGTAGTTTGTTTCTGGAACGAATTATGCTTGCAAACCAAGCTATTACTGTATATTTGGAATATATTTTCAAATAATTTCACATTGTTTTACTATATAATTAAGGTTTGTGTAGCATTCCATTTTGCACTTGTTCCATAATGTACTTTACCAGCCTTCTCTCTTTTATTTTTTGTTTCTTTAACCAAATGGCGAACATTCAGAGAGTTTTCAGGTTTCCCTTACCGTAAGCAGTTCTGTGGTGGGCAAGCTTGAAGTACATACACATCCACCCATTTTTCCTTTAGTGGAGTCAGGGCTAGTGCCTGATGTCTGTGGGGTTTTCAAGAAGCTCACTTTGTATGCCTGAGAAGTGCCCTGTTTTAGGTCAGGGATACTTGCTACTTGTCATCCAATAACTGACTCTTGTTTCTGTTTCTTCATTGTCGACATGTGAATTCTCCTCCATGTTTAATTTCTTAATAGATGGGATCGCGGTACAAACCATCTGCTGTTCAACATGTTGCCTGGCGGTCCCCCAGATTATAACACAGCTCTGGATGTCCCCAGAGACAGGTAGGTGTATTTGAGGCTGTCACTGTGGTGGCTTTCTGTTTATGTGAAATCATATTCCTAAGCTTACTTGGACTTACTGTGTAGTCAGAATTGTTTCTTTTTATATAAAAAGTTGCCCTCCTCAAGACATAGAATTATTGAGACCTGCTTAAATCTGTTGTGGAGAACCAGTGAGAGCTCATGTTCTAGTGTAGCGTCTTAAACTCTTTGTTTCTTAATCTGGGTTATGCTGTCCTGCGTGTAGCACCCCTACCCCCTAAGGCCTAGTTCATGACTGGCTTGTGCCAGCTGTCTCTGAACTTGGGAGCATTTGCCAAAAGCAGAGCCACAGCTTCCTGGGATGTTTGGAAGTGATGCGTAAAGCCTGCAAGGCCAGGAGGCCTTCTGATTAGCATTTGTTCCGTTGTTTCCATCAGTGGGGTTCTTGCCTGCCTTCCTTTTTTTTTTTCTTTCTTACCCGCTTCTTTCCTTCCCTCCTAATAAAACCTTCCAAATGGGCAGATGTGGTAGAGGGGGACGAAGGTTGCATGAGGATGCTTTTGAGTTCACTTACTGTATTTATCAGCCCTTTTATACACCGACTGACCCACTGTGGCTGAAGGCTTCCCGGAAAGCTCAGGAATGAGGTTTCCGCTGAAGGTTCCCCTCCTAGTACTGGGTTCAAGGCTTTGAGGAGAGCAGAAAGTTTGGGCCCAAGATAAGAGTCCCAGGCATTAATACTCAAAGTATAGCATTGTTCTAAGTTTGTGTATGAACTCATTTATAACCAATTTTATTACATTTGATGTTGAACTCTTAAAATCATTGTTACTGAAAAAGGTGAACGAATGGCCTGAGCCCAGCTATGTTCTCCATTGTTAGAGGTTGACGTCATTTATGAAAATCTACGTTAGCACTACTTTTTCCCAGAAGATTAAACGTAAGCCTTCTTTGCTTTAAGGATTATCTAGGGTCAGTGTTGTGTTTTGATCTGGAAATACAGCTATCACTAGGAGAGACGAACACACTAGGACCACGCCTCAGCTTTGCTGTAGAAACCATTCTGGACGATAGAGGGCAGTCAGGCCACACAAATTCTATGGAAACCAGCTAAACACAAAGTGATCCCTGACTTGGCTCTCAGCCCCAGTGTTCCTGAGTGGGCTACTGTTTTATGGATTTGGTTGTTCTGGGAAAGGGAAATACTTTGGAGACTAGAGAAGGGAAGGAAAAGAGCTGTTAGGAATGCAATGTCTTCACCTGCTGTGCTGGGTTCCTTGTGAGGACTTATTTCTGTTTGGGACATTTTGCTTTTTGCTGACATTTTGGTATATGTATCTGCATGGGAGAAGGATTTTATTTTTATCAAGTGCACATGTTAAGTGGGGTTTTATTTCTCGGCAGGAAAGTGTCAAGTGGTCAGGAGAAACTAAGTTCTTGCTGGTTCTTAGGTGTGAAGGATCACGAGGGTTCAATTGTTTTCCCTATGTGTGTGTTTTTGTAAGTGATTAGAGGCAGTCCTTTAGCAAGTAATGAAGCACCAGACAGCCCTTTATCTTTGCATGTGGGAACTTTCATTTTGAAACCTAGGTGGTCTTCTGCTTGGGGTAAGGAATTGTAGATTTGTTTGTTCATCTTTCTTATCCTTTTTCTTTGCTCCTGGATTCAAAGGAGGCAAGAGCCTCCCTGCTTTGGATTTTGGATTTTGTAAGTGCAGTGAAGCTGGCACCAGGTCTGTCACCAGATAGTCACCAAAGATCTAACAGTTGTTCACGTTTACCTGTCATATAGATTTTTTTTTATGGTTTACTTGATTCAGTAAATAAATATGACCCATAGAATTGATCAAATTAGTCAGCTTTTTTTGTGTTGTTTTTCCCTGAACCTGAAGCTTTATATTTGAGGAATTTGCAGGCCTGAGTGCATGCATGGTTTAAAAGAAAGCGAAGGATAAACCTGCAGATGAACTGTGTTTAGGCCCTGAATACTCCGATAGGAGGAGGAGAGCTACGAGAGCATCTGAGGAAAGATCCAGACTGGCGACTGTGGCGTACAGGACGCTGTGGGGAGGCTTCAGCGACGGAGGAGATGACCTGGAGTCAGGAGGTCCTGGAAAGCGCTAAAAACGCCAGATATAACACTTAGCCTGGCATGCATCTCATCCCATATTAATACTTTCGTGAATGCAAGTTTTCTATCTGGTCTCTTGCACCTTTGGAACTGATCTCTGATTTGCGGATACATAATGGGAAAACAGAATGTGCTTCTCAGAAATTCCCCTTTCAGTCAATGTAAAACACGTGTTTCGTCAGGCAAGGGATGCTTACAATATTTTCTTCATTACAGCATTATGGGAACACTGGCAGGAAAAGATACAGTGACTTAAAGTTGAAGTCTTGTCAATAGCAGGGCTGGTGTGAGGCCTGTTTGACTAATTGCAGTCATGGCTCTTTCTGCGATCACAAATGGAGATCGCACATGTGTGATCTGTGACATAAGATGCTTCAGAGTGCATGCTTTCCTAACCCCCACCCTAACCCCTGGGAACACAATAACAGTTTGGGGCTCCAGGGACAGAATAATAGTAAAAGTTGGTATGATATATACCTGCTTCCTTTCTCACCACATATGCACACCCCGCTCCTCTGAGGCTCTGGGTGTAATTACCTAATCACTCACTGCCCTGGCTTACCTGGACTGCCCACTGCCTGTGTATTGGATCCACGTTTGCTTCTCCGTACATAGGTCATGGGGGCCCGTACAGTCTGCTTGCCATCACGGTCATGGAACCTGCCCAAATTCATGCTGGATGGATTCATTGCTCAATGCTAATCAGGAAAAATAAGACCGTATGTTGGTACTAAGGATAGTCATTAAGTTTTACAGAGTAGACTGGCAGCTGGAGAGGTTTTTCGCTTGCATATTACCTCACTAACCAATTCTTGGTTTCATAAAGCTTAAACAAACAGATTGGGATTTCCAGGGGTGGTTTGAAAATCTTTGAACTTTAACTGGTCATGTTAGAAGGGAATGTACGCTGTCATCAGGGCAGAGAGGGGATTGGTAGCAATCAATATTGCAAAAAATGTGGTTTCTTGGTTCAGACATTTTGGCTCAGACTGTGCAGCGTGTGGAACTGGCAAAACTCTGCCCCACTAAGTGATTTTGATGGGGCCGGGGCCCCAAAGACAGAATAATAGTAAAAGTTGGTGTGATACACACCTGCTTCCTTTCTCTGATGAAGTGTCATTATACTACTTGCTGGATCCAATTAAAACAGCGTGTTAACAGCTTTCTGTTTAAGGAGATGAAAACTAGGACATGCGAACTGCAAAGGGAAGCACTGAAGGTCCGATTCTGGATTCCGCTTCCTGCGTAGGGGGTTGGATTGATAAGACTGAGTAACTGGAATTGATGGCGATTGCTGGTAGAGGCTATGTGATTGACACGTAGCTCTGGGGTGACAGTGGCGAGAACTGCTTGGGTCAGGAATTGGAGAGAGGCTGGGGCATATGCACCGTGAGATGTGACGCGTTACTGTCACCACTGCTTTCTGTGCCCGTGGTCTCCTGAGATTCTAGCTGGTGAGTCAGTCAGTGACTGCCCCAGCCAGTCTTCCTACGCAGACCTGTTATTATTCCTACTATTGTACATGAGTTTAAGAGCAGGGTATGACTTTTGGGAGAGGTGAATGGGGTCTGAAAAAGGGAGTGGAGGGCTGTTCAGAGGGCATCCTCTGGGCTGTGGTGTATTTTAAAAAATGGCAAGTAAGGGAAGACTACATAGGACCCCAGAGGAAGGCTGGTGACTCAGGGAGAGAATGCAGCTGGTGTCCAAGAGGTGCGAACGTAAAACATTTAGCGCAGTGTCTGTAGAAAAATGACTCCGTAAACATTATCTGTTGTTGATATTAAGACTCAAGTATATTATTCAAGGCTCTTGAATAATTTCATTTTGTTTGTTATATAATGTCATTTTGTCAACTTCGTTTCGTTATAGCATTGATGAGCTGCAGTAGGAACTTAACTCTTGTTTATATCAGTTAGCCTATGGTAAAACTGGGTCCATTATATGTTGTTTGTTTAAAGTCATAGGACCTATCCACGATGTTAAGTGAGGACTGACTTACTGTACTCCTATCCCTTTCTACAGAAGACCTTTCTCATGGTTTGACAAAATTTTGTGCTTGCAGGGCTCTGTTGGCTGGTGGTGGCTTTTCCACATGGACTTACCGGCAAGGCTACGATGTCAGCATACCTGTGTATAGTCCGCTGTCAGCTGAGGTGGACCTTCCAGAGAAAGGACCAGGGTAAGGTGCACTCAGCACAGCCAGGTTTGTGTGAGGTCCAGCGTGGTGGGTATCACAGCAATCACAGCATTGATTACACGCCAGGGTCCTTGAGTCTACCATCTTTCCCACCCACCCCAATCCTGTTTATCCTGCAGTGTTCTCTATCTCAGTAAGTTTACACTGCTACCTACCAAGCTTTCCAAATCAGACATCTACGTGGTGTCCTCACCTCCTTTCACTCCCTTACTTCTAAGTCCTGTCCTACATCCTAAATGTTTCTTAGGTCTGTCTACTGCTCCACCTCCTCTGCCTCTACCCTGTACCAGGTTACCGTCCTCACTCCCTTGGATTGCTAAACTGGCCTTCTGGTTGGTTTCCCTGCCTCTAGTCATGCTGCCCTCCATTCTGACCGTGAGCTTCACATTGCCCTAAGGACAAAGCCCAGACTCCTTCAAATGTCTTTCAAGACCCCCTATCACACGACCACTGTCTCCATCTCTAGCTTTTGACCAATTTTTTTATAGTTCTTAGAATGAGCTTTGTTCTCTCCATTTTTCTGGGTTGCAAAACTCTCTGCTGATTGGTAACCGTTTTCCTCCTTTTCATCAGAAGAATGACCTGCTTGTCCTTGAGGATTCCACTTGAGAACCTCTTACTCGAAGGGCATTCTCTTAGCCCCTAGAGTGGCCCTTCTGCTCTATGCTCCCATCGCAGCCTGCACTTCTCGTGCACCACCATTAGGCCCTGTGGTGATGACTTGCCCAAAGCCTCTCTGCTTAAGACTTTGTAAGTGCCATGGAGCTGGCACCAGGTCCGTTTTTTAACTGCCGTGTCTTCCTTGCCTAGCACATAATTGGCTCAGATTTTTGATGTGTGAGTGAGTAAATGAGAAGAGCTGACAGAATGGATGTAAGAGGCATTTTATCTCCCCTTTCTTACTATAGTCTAGTGTTTAAAGTTGTGCTAATACACGGTGAGAATCTCAACGAGCTTTAAACAAACATGATGATAGTAACAGTATTCTTTACTTGTGGGCTAAGTGCTCACGTATGAAGGTGACTGATCTGTATATTGCCACACTAGAAATGTCATACTGGCTGAGGATTAAAAGCCCATACATAGCATTTGGTTTCAGAAATGAATCTCAAGGCAGTAATTTGCTTGCAGAACATTAGAACCGTCCTCAAACTACCCCGAACTTCCTCTTACAAGCCTTTATGGATTATTTGAGAAGTAAGAACTTTTCCAAAGTGAAGACATTTCTCTCCTGTGTGTGTGTGTTCTACCATGTGGCCCGGGACCAAATTCTGAACTTGCTGTAGATATGGCAAATTTTATGTTATTTGGACAATGTATAAAGCCCAGGTGAGATCGAAGCATCTTTTCCTCTACCCTTAGGCAAGTGCAAAGAAGAGATTGGGTCTTTCATAAACTTGTAGCTTAGATCAACTTTCTGAATTTTTTTCTGTTTGTGGACTCCCTGAGTTGACTTAATTTATTTTATTATTGATACATAATTCATATACCATAAAATATGCACTTTAAAAATATATACCATTCAGTGGATTTTTTAAAAATTGAGATATAATTGACATAATATTGTGTAAGTTTTAGGTGTACAATGTATTGATTTGATACAATTCACTGCTTTTTTAGTATATTCACAAAGTTGTACAGCTATTGTCATCACTACTACCTAATTCCAGAACATTTCAACACCCCCAGAATAAACCTAATACCTATTAGCTGTCACTCTCTATCCCCGTCACCAAACTTCATACCCACTGCCCCCAGCAACTATCATTAATCTACTTTGTCTTTATGGATTTGCCCATTCTGGACATTTCATATAAATGTAGTCATACAATATGTAGCCTTTTGTGTCGTTTTTTACTTGGTATAATGTTTTCAAGGTTTAGCCATCTTTTTTGCATGGAATCCATACTTCCTTTCTTGGCTGAATAACGTTTCATCAGATGGATATACCACAGTTTGTTTATCCATTCTTCAGTTGACAGACATTTGGGTTACTTCCACTTTTTAGCAATTATGAGTAATGCTATCAACATTTGTATACAAGTCTTTGTGTACATGTATGGTTTTAATTCTCTTGGATATACACCTAGGAGGAGAATTGCTGAGTCATGTAGTCAGTCTCTGTTTAACTTTCTGAGGAACTGCCAGATTGTATTCTAAAACAGTTCTACCATTTTACCCACTAGCAATATATGGAGGATTCCAGTTTCTCTGTGTCCTTGTCAACACTTGTTATTGTCTTTCTATTTTATTGTAGCCATTTTAGTGGATGTGAGGTGATATCTCATGGTTTTGATTTGCATACCTCTAATTATTAATAATGTTGAATATCTTCTTATGTCTTTATTGGTCATTTATACAACCTCTTTGGAGAATGTCTGTTCAAATCATTTGCCCATTTTTAAATTGGTTTTTGTTTTTATTGTTGAGTTGTGAGAATCTTTTGTATATTATAGACATTAGACCCTTATCAGATATATGATTTGCAAATACTTTCTCCAGTTCTGTAGGTTATCTTTTCACTTTCTTGATCGTGCCCTTTGATGCACAAAAGTTTCTAATTTTAATGAAGTCCAATTTATTTTTCCTTTGGTTGCTTGTGCTTTTGGTGTCATACTTAAGAAAATATTGCCTAATCCAAGGTCATAAAGATTTACACCTGTGTTTTCTTCTAAGAATTTTATAGTTTTAGCTCTTACATTTTGGGTTTTGATCCATTTTTCAGTTAATTTTTGATATGGTTTGGGGTAAGGGTCCAACTTCATTCTTTTACTTGTGGATATCCAGTTGTCTTAGCAACACTTTTTGAAAAGACTATTCTTTTCCTGTTGAATGATCTTGGCACCATTTTGAAAATCAACTGGCCACAGATATGTGAGTTTGTTTCTGAACTCTCAGTTCTGCTTCATTGGTTGATATGTCTGTCCTTATGCCACTACCACACTGTCTTGATTATTGTTGTTTTATAGTAAGTTTTTTGTTTGTTTGTTTTTTTGTTAAAGATTTTTTTATTGGGGAATTGGGGGAGGGGAACAGTGTTGGGGAATTGGGGAAGTGGAACAGACAAGTCGCTGCCCTTTTGTTCTTCAGTCTAGTTGTGGAGGACGTCGCTTCACTGGCCCATGTTGGTGTTATCATTGCGCTCTTCCCGGGTGAGGCAGATTGGTCGCCGGGCCCTGGACGGCTGCTCACGGCGGCTCTTAGCAGCTCACGCTGGCTGCCAGCCACTCACGGTAGCTTTAGAGCAGCCCACTGCAGTTCCACTGCAGCCTATGCCCGTCGCCGGCGACTCATGGCAGCCCAGCTCCAGGTTGAGCTGTTGTTCACCATCTTAGCTGTAGAGGGCGCAGCATCACTGGCCCTAATGTGGGATCCAAACTGGGGCTCTGCTGCTCAGAGCTGGCATCCCAAGCCAACTCTTAACCAACGAGCCACTTGACTGGCCCTGTAGTAAGTTTTAAAACTGGTAAATGTGAGTCCTCCAACTTTGTTCTTTTTTCAAGGTTTTTTTTTTTTTTAAGCTATTTTCCTTTCAATTTTAATTACTTTTTTTATAATGCAACTTGAATAAGTACAAATAAAAATGATCTAAACTCTGTGCTTATACAGCTACAAAACTAGAACATTTGCACATTAAATACAAACAAATCTACAAAACTAATAACATTCAGATTAACATAATGTGATAGCTGGGGCTTTTTCTTTGAAACTGAATTTTATCTTTCCAGGTGAATATGGAGTTAATTATGGTTTTTTTGGTTCAACATGCCTGTACTGTTGTATGCTGGGTGATGATGCACTTCTCTTTACCACTTTTATTAATTGAACCACAGGAGGCTTCCTTTTATATAGCATATTGTGACATCATTTATCTTCATCTGGTACAGATGCTTGATTCCTGTTTTCCCCCAACATCGTATTGATGAAAATCTTGAAGCAGACAACAGAGTTTAAAAAGTTTTATAGTTGCATCCTTAATAAAATATTAATGTTAGAGCTTCAAAAAAAAATTTTACAGCAAATATGTATTCCCATCACTTAGATTCTGTCATTAGCATTTTACTATACTTGTTTTACATGATTTACATTTTAAGTATTCCTCCTTTTTTATTAGTCCACTAAATACAAATTTGAACAATGAAAAATTTTAGTAGTACTTATCACTAAATATGAGCAGAATATATGCCTATAATATTTTTTTGGATCATCATCAAGATGGAAATACAAAAATAATTCCTATAGAGAATTAGTAGACTGGAGACAATGATTTGTAGTTCATTGCTATGTTCTGAGATTGGATTTACGTAAATGGAGATAGGGTGTTAGCCCGGCTTATACCATTTTGGGTGGTACAAGTTTTTGGCATGTACCTAAGATTTTAATTTGGCATGTTTATGAAGCACTAGATATGAATAACTATAATAAGTAGAGAAAAGTCGGTGGAACTTGAAAAAAGGGTTTACTTCTCTGCTTGCCGTTTTTGTGAGCATTTACTTAAAATTAAATAAGTTTTGTCATTTTCGAAAATTTTTTTAAACCTTTGCCTTTTTGCCTTTTTTTCCCCCCCTGAAGTTGTGCTGGAAATTGTTTTATTCAGTTCAAACTTTTATTGAAGGCTATTTGGACCAAGTATGGCTAGGCTGGTGGTTCTCAACAGGGTAGGATGGTTAATTTTGTCCTGCTGGGACATTTGGCAACATATGGGGCTCTTTTTTACGGTCACAACTGAGGCTGTGTGTGTCAGGGGTCCCCATGACCACCTTCGATTTGCCAGGAGTACTCACAGGAGTTAGAATATAGTTGCACTCATGCTATGATTTATTACAGCAAAAGGATGCAAAGCACAGTCAGCAAGGGGAAAAGGTGCATGGGGTGAAGTCCAAGGAAACCAGGTGCAGGCATCCAAGGTCCTCTCGCAGTGGTGTCACACAGGATGTGCTTAATCCCCCCCCGCAACAAATTGTGACAACATGTGTGAAATA